CAGCGAGAAGTCATCAGCTACTCGCACCGGGCCCTAATTATGGCCCCTTATCGCGCGCTTTTATGTTCGCAAAGGCACATCAACAGGCCCTTCGCCCGCGGCGGCACCGCTTTTTAGCACAATTAAATTCGTCGGCCGGGCCAACTTTGGAATTCTGAGTGTGCGAGTGATGTGCTGCGAGCGAAAGGGTCGTTGTATTCGCAGACAGAGAACAGCAGGGCGGCGCCCAAACGGCTTCATCGTCCTGCTCGCAACTCTCTGAAATGTTTCGCTACTTTCACGCGCCTTTTACTCCTCATGCGACACAAACAAGTTAATTTCATCCCCCTATGAATTCCTCGTCCCTTCTCACTCAACTTCACGACAAAGAAAAATTTTGATTTTTTCAACTAAATATTTAGATACAAAATCTTTTGGTATGCATCCTATAATTAATTGTGCTTTTAAATTAACTTAATTCTAGGTAGTTACAAGATTCATTTTGCGGCGATGAAAGGAAATCTTATGAAAATTATGGTTTCAAAGCTTGTTGCACTATTTTTTAAATTATAATTTTTATGAATTTCTTCTGTTTTTAGATGAAAATCAACGATTCTAGGCTTTGTGAATAATTATTGACGAGCCTAAAATTTTTGTTGGTTAACCCAATCTTACAGGAAGAATAAGATGAATGTTTGATTTTCCATAGTAATCGATAGTAATGTATTATTATGATTTCATTATCGGTACATAATCCAGTTTACTCATTAACATATAACGGGTAAATTGGGATAATTGAATACAATTAATAAAATTACAAATTATTAACTCTGATTAAATAGTTAAATCAAATTATATTTTAAAAAACTCTTCATAAAATAATATTATTACAATTGAAAATCATATTCTCTATAAAAAGAACTGTTTTAAAGTAATTTTAAAAATATCAAAATTATTAATTTTTAGATATTTATTAATTTTCCAATAAATCTTGTTGAATAATCAATTCTTAATTGACTAAAAAAAACTTCTGTGAATTGTTTTGTTTACAGCATTAAATAATTTAGAATCAACAGTCCTAGTCTATGTCCTAGACCAATATTGTGTGGGATGTTGAAAAGGCAGTAAATCGAATGTATGCAACCTGTTAAGCACGGGCGTCGGGCAGGTTGCATAACCGCGAAAACGGCAGGTTGTTAATCACCTTGCTCGCTCGTGTGTCTGCTTTAAAGCGCGGATCGATTCGCCGAGAGTGTGCGAGCGATATGGAGAGGGAGATGCACCCGAAATTGCCACCAGTTTACTTTTTTATCAGCTCGCAGCCCTCGGGTTAAGAAAGCGAGCAGAACCTGCGAATTATCTGATTCATTTTTTATCAGCCCCAACGAAATGCATATTTTCTGGTGGCGCAGAATTGCACTCAGAGATACGCCTCGCGAAGAATGAAAGAGAGAAAGCCCCTGGCATTAGCGATTCGCGTTCTTAAAGAATGTCGGCAGATAGCTCGTTTTTTTTATTTTCAAACACCGTCACCGAGTCAGAGTCTCTCACTTATTACGCGCAATGTGTATTTTGTTTGCTTTCAGAGAAGTCGTCGCGGTGTGAGTGAACTGGAGCGAGAAAGGGTTCTCTTTCATAATTGAGCGTGGGGTTGCAAAGCAAAAAATTTATTCGCGAGAAGGCGAGGAGCACGTAGCGAGAGGACAATTAGGGCGAGAGTGTTTTGATGAAAAGAAGAAGGAGCAGAAGATGTTATTCGAGAGTTGACGGCGTGTTTCTTAATAATTGGTGCGATTGCAAAAACGAGTTCAAGCGTTAAGAAGTGATGATTCGTCTGATTTAATTAGCTCTTGATTACGTAATTTATTTGAAAATAAAGTTAACAGTTGAACATACCAGAACGGCTACTTTATTATTTGTTTTCCTTATGAAAAATTACTTGATGTAAACAAATTAGACTAACTATCTTCGAATAAAAAAATAAAATAACTAAAAGATGAACAAGTCTCATTAAATTTGACATTGGACGGAGTGATTTTGATGGCAATTTATCTATTAGGGATTTTTTGTATAATTTTTGCCACCTTTATTCTTTGAAGAATAATAATATTAAAATAAATATTCTTTCAAAAGTGTTCCACGAAACTATTCAGAAAATATAAATCATAATAAATTAACTTGGTATTGTAATTTAAAATTTTTATTGAATCATATTGTTTTGCAAGGAAAATATTTTTCCACTTATTATACTAATTTTAAAATTATCAATTAGAAATATGAATGTCTGATTTTACGTTTAAAAAAGGGAAAAATTAAAAATTGTGACTTTTTCACAATCAGCATATTTTGCTTTTTCCATTAAGCCAGTTGATTTTAACGCAAAGTTTAAAGCTTTAAAAATATGAAGATTTGCTTTCTTTTAAATATAATGCTGGCGGATGATTTTGACTCTTTAATTTTACGTTAGGTATAAAATAAAAAATTTTCTCTCCCAGTGCAGATACCTGATAAAATTATTCAAAACAAAAAGTATAAAGTCTAGTGTAAGTCGGTTGTTCTCGCGGATCAGCACGTGGATAATCGGATTGCAGTGACAAAAGTTGGCCCAGGGGGCGAATCAGCAACGCCCGGTGACACACATCGCTGCTCCACTTACCTGTTCTGCGTTGCCTCTTCATTCACGGCGACCCACGCCCGGCCGGAAAACTCCTTTATGCAGCACACGCAACTTGGCTGCTGCAAAAGGCACCGCAGGAATCTCTCATTGTATTCCACGACTCCAGCGCCTGCGGTCATTCATTCATTCCGATCTCTGGGGTGCTCGGAAATCCTCAGGCCGCGCAAACCTTTTGATGATTCGGATGTGCGGAAAATAGAGCAGGATTCAATTTCACTTGCCGCAAATTCATTGATCGCGCCAAATGAATTTTACACGGGCTGCTTTCGTCGGCGGCTTTCGAGAGCCCCGAATCATATCCACCACATGAAGTGGATCAATAAAAACAGCGCATTTTTGCGTTGGTACAACATTGCGGAAGAGCCGCCGCACGCTGCTTTTTCTTCCGCGCGAGGATAGAAAAGGTACGAGGAGGCCATTCTGCTCGTGCTCGAAATGAAAAAAAAATGTAGTAAAAAGGCCGCTCCCTGTGGCTGAAAGATTTCGCACGAACCCAGAGTCACGTAATTGAATCTGTGCTCTTGGTGAGAAAAATGACGAGTTGCTCATAATGCATCAGAACCCTTGGATGTTTGGATCCATGAAAAAATATGACTGTTTTTTTTAGTAAAATAAGCTTCAAAAAAATTTTAAAACAAAATCTGGAAATATTTGTCTGTGAAAGTAAGTTTTATGAACATTCAATTATTGCTAATTATTTTTCTCTAATTAATCAACGAAAATTACCAATTTTTAGAAATAAAGAAGAAATTAAGTTTAATAATAAATCTCATGTTTAAAATTTAATTTTCTTCAAAATTTGCTTTCGTTTAATATACATTATTGTTTTTAAATCCCAATATAATTAAATTTGATTACAAAAAACGTTCAAATTCACTGTTTATTTATTTCATATTTGTTGCATGTATTTTTAAAGCTGGGATAAATATTTATTATTATTGGTTGGGGATAAATATTAATTTTTTTTTTTAAATCATCATCAGAAAACCTGGGACAATTTTATTTTCCAATTTAGGTTCACCTTTAAATGAGTTTCTGATATGGGAATAGAAGGCGAATACTCCAGTCATTCTCTGCATTCATTTTTCTCTTATTTCATCTGTGTTTTGTAAAGCAAAATCCACTTCGTGTAAAGCCAAACAAAGCCTTTTTTCTCTGTGCGCGATAATAACGCCGGCGATAACGAGAGCACGCAGCAAATGGAAATTGAAGTTCAAGTGAAGAGAAAACTCCCTCAGCTGAGCTGCTTTTTGTCCTCGTCTCTCTCATCCACCACCTCTGCTTCTTCGCCTCTCCTCGAGCAAAACAAAACGCTGCTGGCCCATGTAAATACTCGGCTGGAAGGTCTCCTTGATAAAACAACAACAACTTCTTCCAAGATCAAACAACAATTCTCTTAATGCAACGGTACCTAGCAGATTTCGCGCCAGTGCTTTTTATTCGCAACAACGCCCAGATAAAAAAAGAGAAATCGGCGAGAGAATGAAACTCGCAATCAGTTTTTTTTTTGTAAATACACAATTCGTCGTCGTCGTTTTTATTTTTTCATCTTTTGTTACAAAAAATATCGATGAGAATCACTACGATTTTGTGTGTTTGTTAGAGATAAATCGTAAGTACTGCATTTTTTTTATACAACTCGTCATCCAATTTCAATTTAAATAATATTCAGGGTCCATTAAATCAAATCGGAGAGATTTCGTTTCTTGAAAAAACACAAAGAGACGTCTCGACGGAACACAATTTCGCGTTTTTACCAAACAACATTATGATGATGATCGCCATTGTTATTTTTATTATTATTATCAGAAACGGTCAGAGCTCGGGTGAAATACACAATCAGTTTAGAAACAAATCAACATTTTTCGTATAATATAATGTTTTGGCCATTGTTATAGTCGGTTTGCTATTTTTTATAAATGTATTTTAAAAATGTTAACTGTCAGTGAGAGCGGTTCGACACGGATTAATTGCAAACACTGCTTGATTTTAGACAAATAGAATGTTTGCACAAAAATTATCCACGGCTATTTCCATATTTAATGAACTTTTTCTTGCTTAGCTGTCGGTTTGATTGATTTTTCACAGGAAACAGATTTTGGATTTTACTCCTCTTTTATATAACAATGTACAACATAGGTGCACCTACACCATTTTAATAATTATTGTTTCTGCATATTCGGAAATGGGATTCATCATGAACGAAAAGGAACGATACAATAATTAACAATTAATAATAATAATTAATTACAGTTGTAATAAAATAGCATTTGTTTCTGCGGTTAGTTTGTATGTACAAATTACGAAGGAGCTGTAGTATTTTTTTTCTTCTTCTTTTTTCACCTCTTTTTATTTAATAATGCTGTATTTTTTTTTTATAATTTTTAAGGATAGACTCTCGTGTCTTTTGTGTTATGTATAATAATGCTTGTTAAATTTCTTCTTTCTCTCTCTCAATATAATATAAAGCCGTTCACATTCAACAACTTGGATCAAATATATTAATATATATATTTTTATGGAGCACTTGCACGAAAATGTCGTTTCATTCGCCACCAACCACATCGTAGTACACACATGTCACAGAGAAATTACAGCAGCACTTGGAAATTTATATTTTTACAACAAGTCGTTTTCGTTCAGTTTTTGGGCCTCGCGTTTTTCTTCCTTCCTCACACTAGTCTGAAGCGTCTTTTTATTTCTCGGCGGCAGTCGCGGGTGAGAGAAAAAATAGCGAATGGTCTGTGCGCAATTGAAATGCTCTTCTGATGGAAGCCCCATGGCACAAAATCAATATAATAAAACTAATCGAGGTCAGATTTGCAAAAAACGCCCGTCTGACCTCGTACAAATAAATAAAATCCAACAAATTAAAAAAAAAATAATAATAATAATAAGAAATCGTTGTGACTGAAAATTTGATAGAATCGTGGTCGTCGTGGGTGATAGCGGTGAAAAATATACTTTTGAATATTTTCAATTCGTCTTTAGGATTAGATAAGGCACTGTTTACACTTCGGTTCCGTCTTCGCCCTCTTCGGCGTCTTCGTACAGCGGTTCCGTGCCACTCGCCGCAGGAGTCACCTTGCGCTTTGCAGGTTTCGGTGGCACTTTCGGAGGGACCTTCTTCTTCGGTGTCTCCACAATTGGCAGCAGAGGCGCCTCCTCGGTGGTGCTGCTCGCGGCAACACTGCTTCTCTTGTCGTCACCCTCTGGAGAGGTGCGTCTGGCAGGTTGCGGCGACGTCTCGGCCTCCACGATCGGCGCGTAGTACTTCGGAAGAGTAGCAACGGGTGTTGCCGGAAGCGGGCGGACCAGGTTCCGGGTGGGCGTGGCCACTCTTGCGGTCGGACTGTTCAACGAGACGTTAGAGCTGCCGTCGACGGTGGTGCGGCGTCCGAGGTTGTCGTAAATGGGCTCCATCCGAAGCAAGGGGTCGCCGACACGAGGGGGCGCTGCCCAGCTGGGCGCCCGGGGGCGGCGAGGGATGGTCACGTAGCCCTGGCGGTTGGTCACGATGGGCAGAGAGCCGCAGGAGCCCATCATGGGGTGCATCGTGAAGGGCGACTGCGACCGAGCGTAGGGCAGAGTTCCGAAGCCGGTCAGGTGCGGCGCCGGCTGGAGGATGAGGCCGCTGATGGGCTGCGGTGGCAGCCTCGTGCTGTCTGGTGCCGTCGAGGTGGAACTTCCTGCCGGAGAATCGTGTCGGGGTTGAAAGGCCAGCAAGTCAGGTCGGCCGGTCGGTCGCAGTGGAGTCGCCGTTGAGCTCTTGGATGGCGTGAATTCGTCAGCGTCCAGCAGCGAGTCGTACGAAGGCGCGCCTAGGGAGAGAGAAAAAATGGCGATCGCCGGATGAGTCTCGAGTTTGGCAGGTCTACAATCAAGCCGAGCCAACAAACCAACCACGAGCGAGCAGCAGGACATGCATCTGTTAGTACAAAAGCAGCAGCGGCACCGCCACCAAAGTTACCACGCATATTAGTTCGCAATTTTGCCACCACCATCACCGCAATTAACACAAAAACAACAAACATAAAGAAAAGTAAAATAAATTATACCAAAAATAATATTAATAAAGACAAAAAGAAATTATAGAAAATAAAGAGAAAAATTAAAGAGAATTAAAAGCGCTTTGATCAGTCAATTAGAGGTTAGAAGTCTCATAGCGAGGCTGGTCACAGTAGAATAGCAGCGACGGGCAATAGTACCGACCTTCAGAGGTGCGCGTTCGCAGGGTGGTGCCGCCATTTCCGGTGGCGACGCCGTCCTCGATCATGTGCGAGCGATTCAGGTCTGTGGTCTGGCTGCCGTTGACGGACGACTGCGCTGATTCGATTCGTCGCGGCGGCTTCTGCAGTGGGTTGATTTTGGTGATCAGCGCCTTCTCCTGCTCGTCGTCGCCGCCGGCGCCGCCGAAGGCGTCGCCGTTCATCTGCTCGTGGTGCTTCTTGAGCATCTGCGCCCTTTGGTGATGATTCCGTCTGGCCCTTCTTCGGCACAGACAGAAACACAGCGTCATGACGCAGACGAGCAACACCAACGCCGCCACCAACAGGGACACCAACCAAATGTAGAGTTCGCTGCCCTGTGCGGTGTTGATGAAACCGCCGGAGGCGTCACGGACTCCCAGCTGCAGGTAGGCCTCGTCGACTCCGCCAGGGTTGGTGGCGGCGCAAGAGTACTTGCCTGCATCGTAAGTGCGAACGTTGATCACCGTCAGGTTGGCCCAAGTCCACAAGTCACCAATATGGCCGCGGGACTCGCCTGTGTGAACCACATAGTGCTGTTGGTAGCCCGAGTGGGAGCCCCTGGATGCGTTGCCCAAGACCAGGGAGTTCAAGACCCATTGAATTTTGGGAGGCGGGTCTCCTGAGGCCCTGCAACCTATGGTCACGTTGGCACCGGCCGTAGCCGCTACCGAGGCAGATGGCAGCACTAGTCGCGGCGGACACGCGAATTCATCGCTGCCGATGTCACTCCAAAGCTTGTCCTTCAGTCTGTCCGGCTCTTGGCAGCGCGTGGGCTGCGAGTTAAGCTTGCGTTCCTCCACCCAGTCTCGAAGTGGCCGCAGCTTGCAGTCGCAGCGCCACGGGTTGTTGGCCAGCACCAGGCTCTTGAGCTTGCTCATCTGCGAGACGGTGTTGAGCCTCAGATAGGTCAGCCGGTTTCCCTCAAGTTTGAGTCTTTGCAAGTTGGGCGTGTTGGCGAAGGTCTTCGGGCCGATCTGGTTGATGCGGTTGTTGTCCAACTCTACCGTTTGCAAATAGGTGTGGTTTGAGAAGAGTCCGTCCTCCAACTTCTCAATTGGATTGTGGTTCAGGTAGAGCAGTCGGAGTCGGTAGTTCTCTTGAAACGTGCGCGAGTCCAGCTTCTTGATGTCGTTGAGAGACAGGTCAATCTCAATCACGATTTCCAAGCCGTTGAAGGCGCCAGGGTCGATGCTCGTGATGTTGCAGCCTTTCATGAACAATTTGTGCAGGTTCACGAGGCCGACGTCACGAAAGGCGTTCTTCGGGATGTACGTGAGCTCGTTGAACGAGATGTTGAGCACCTGGATCTCCTGGCTGAGCTGCGGAATGGCATAGATTCGCTCGCAGTCGGCCGCTTTCTTGCCATGGGACCAGCGGCAATTGCATCCTGCGGCTTCGCAGCCAGCCGACCAGTCTTCACTGCTCGCCGTCAGCTGCACCAAGAGGAGCAGCAACAGCAGCGATGCCAATGACCATCGCGTGGCCAAGCCTCTGCTCGGTGGTGGCATCGTTAGGGTTGAGACGCTCACCTTGGCGTCAACATCGTCCTCTTGGTCCTTAAAAGCAGTTCCGACTCACAGCGCCATCTGAAAAATAAAATAATAATTATATTAAAACTGTAATTAATGAGTTAAATAATACAAATCAGGTTTAATTGATTAATTGAGATTCGCCCAGTTTCAATTTTCATAATTTGTAAATATTTTAAAGATTTTTTTTACTAACTCTATCAGGCAATTTATTTAAAAAATAACCTAAAAATATATTTTTAACTTAAAAACGCGCATTGATGAATCCAACAAAAACTTGAGCTAAACGGAATTGAATTTCATTAATAATTGAAAAGCAAATATTATCAATATTGCCCATTATCAGCAGCCATTTTGAGTGCGAAACGAGTGGGAACAAAAAGCGTGCGACATCAAAAGCCGTGTTTTGCGTGTATCGAAATGATGATGAAAACGAGCTCTTTGCCGGCTGGCGAGCGAGCGATCGATGCAATATGTACTCGAACACATTCGGCACACACAGCGCGAAATTATTATATCAAAACCAAGCAGAGTCGCAAATTAACACACATCAATGGGCTCGCTAAATATTTGTAATTGGCTTAGTTAACCGACGGCCGATGGCATATCGAGCAGCATTATTCCCACCAGCATTCGTGGCGGCCGCTAATTAATACAAATTATCGTTCTGACGAGTCTCTTTATCCTAATGGACCTCAACAATGCCAGGCACAAATGCACGACCCGAATTTCAACTGCATCATCTCTCGACTGATGCTGTTTGCGCTTCTAAATTTGCCGTGCATAAATGACGAGCGGCTCTCCTGCTAAATTAATCATCTCGAGAGTGCAGCCTATTATCCGCAGAGCTCGTTTTTTCCGCCCACCCATGAGAGCTGGTTATTTTTTCCGCCAGATTATTGCTCTGAGCGTGTTGTGTGTATAATTGCACAGTGCTTTTAATATAAATTAGTCGCTCCATATCTCTCGCTCTCTCGTTTAAATCCGGAGAGAGAATGGTGGCTTTTTAAATTGCACTCGGCTTTTCCGTCAATCAATTCTTCTAACGTTTCATTTTCCCAGGCACAATAAAGATAATTTATATTGGAATTTTAATTCTTAAATGTTTTACTATTTTCATTTATTATAATTTATTTTAATTTCATATTATTTGAAAATTTTCCGAATTTTTGTAGCCTAGCTTTCCATCTAAAACTTCAATATTAGGATAATATCCAGTTCATTTGAAAAGTGCCAGCCACTTCCTCGAGATGGGCTTTTCTCTCATATCAGAGTCAGAGAGATAAGAAATAACCGTCATTCAGCAAGTCAACGGCAACATCATTCATTTCCCGGTGCTGTGCGTTGGCGCAGCGTGTGTTTGCATAATGGCACGCAGGGGCAGAGCGTCGACAAGTCTGATGTATCACTGCGCGCTGCAGACACACTCGGCTCGTGTGTGTGTTGGTTCGCCGCGGCATTGCAGTCTAATAAGTCATAATGCGCGCGAGTGAAAAATATACTGCCGCGTGCACGCCGAAGGGGCCGTTTCAGCTTCTCTCGCAGTTTATTTTTATCAAATCGGCGTAAATCAAGTTAATGGCCCCTGACACGCTGATATATGTGAGCGGATTTGTAAACAAAATTAGAAATAAATTAGGCAAAATAGTTCCTGGTGCGGAAGAAAAAAACCGAACTTGATCTAAAATAAAATTATTCAAAGAAGAAGAAAAACCAATAATGCAATTGATTTATTTTGCAACAAAAATTTTTTGTATTTACAAAACATTTTTTTATTCTATGATTTATTTAAATTTTAAGTTATCATTAATAATTGACAATTGAAAGATTTTAATATGAAAATGTCTTCAATTCATTATTTTATGTAACAGATTTGTTTTGACTTTACGAGTTTAATTCCCAACCAGGTTCAATCAACCGCATCTCGGAATGACTCCATTAATTAAAAGATTAAAATCTGACGAGTCGAACGAAAGACGCCTGCGCTCTCCCTACGTCTGTGTCTCCTTATAAGGACGGTTAATTAATAATTTTCCATCCCATTATCTTGTTTATTGCTTCATTTATAATTCTGGAGAGCGGCTGGAGAGGAAGACGGATGGTAAAAAAAGTGGAGAGCGTAATTTTCATTAGACGTCGGGGTTGGAGTGATGGTTCATCTGGGAGACACCTCGCCCGCCGATGGAACATCTATCACACTTTGCTTGGCTCGACTGCCGCTGTGTGATATCAGCCTTGCTTATTATAGTCAATATGGTTTTAAGATGACGCCGGCCGGGATGACAAATGAGCTGCTATTGTGTGTACATAAGATAATGCCCTGCGCCGGAGAAGAGGAGACGAGCTGCTGGATGCTGAGCTCCAGGCCAATTGCACTCAATTTCGCTTCTCAATTCGGTTAGCTCTGCTTGTCTCTCCATCAAGCAGAAACTTTTTGACAATGACAGAGAATCGATAAAAATATAGAATTGAAATTTTTTTTTTTAATTATGAGACTTTCATAAATAAAAAATTAAAAGAGATTTATTTCATTTAATTCAAAACATTAGTGAAAATCTGATTTACTTTTTCAAAATATAAAAAAAGTTTGAACGTTCTGCTATTTTCTTTTCCGTGCAACAAAATACGTGACCCAGTTCATAACATGCGAGAAATAATTCTTTTCTATTTTAAATAAAACTTCTTGTATAAAGTGTGAGAAAACATGCGAGGATGCGGTTCACAAGCACGAACTCTCGGCGTAATCAGCCCGGCTTATTTATTATTGTAATGAGCGAAATGCGTAACGTGATATTGTTTACGGTTCGAGCGGCCACCGCCGCACACGTCGCAGTAATAAATGCCCCTCTCGTGACAGTTTTTCTTTTATCAGATTTCTTGTCGGTGTGCATAAATAAAATTGCATTTCTCATGATTTTTATAATTTCTCGAGGGCATTAGCGGAAAATCTCAACCTCGAATTTCGTTATCTGATTATGATAAACGCCACCTGCTGCGACCGACAGAATGTTCATTACAAATGCCAGGCTTAAAATCGAATCGGCGGCCACGCGATCGGCCGTGTTAATGTAATTAAGAGCTCAACCCGACGTGAGCACGTTCCGGTGCACCCTGCTGCACCACCGACGCTCATTGCATGCGAAATTGATCGCTGAAATGTCCGTAAATGAGTGAAGGACTGCTTTTAATAAAATGATAGTAAAATTGAGCATTTAAAAAAGTTCCATTATATTTAAAAAAAATTCCCTTAAATATCTGCAAATTTCACTTTTAAATTTTTATCATTTTATTTGTTATTAAAATTTTAAGCATTTAACATAATATTAGTTTTTTTTTTATAAAATCCGGCAATTTATGTAAAAAAAATCATGCTGACTGAAATTAATTGAAAAAAATTGTTAAGTTGTTATTATTTTTAAATACTATATAAATATACTGAGAGGCAGAGGCGACAATTTATCAAGAGCTCAGAACTATATTTCATCTTTGCGCCATAATGGCAGTCTTCATTTATTTGTTCATATGTATGATTAAATATTATGAATAAAAAAAATACTAGAGAAAAAAATTTTCCATTACATTGAGTGAGAGATAAACTGAGTCTGGAACCGAGAGTAACTCGTTAGCTTGCAAATTAATTTTTCCTCTCTGCTTCTCATTTCCAATTTGTAGCAGCCGCGCTTGTACCGAGAGATTAAACGGCTAAACTTATTTCTTTTTTTACTTCACGTTGGTGGTTGTGGTGGTATGTATACTTTTCTAGCAAGCAAATCGGCCCATTTGTTCTGCTCGTGGTCTCAGCTGGTGTGTTTTGTACGTTTATTTATTTTTCGCGCCGCCTCGCTTCGCTCCCTAATTCATCTCATTTCTCTTTGGCAGCCCCGCGAGAGAGTGAGTTAAACTGGAGCGAAATCGGTTGCCAGGCTAATGAAACGCGGCGCTTCTTGCTTTATTTTTCGCTTGATTAAACTCTCGCTTAATTTGCAATGAATAATTCGTTTGTTTCGTCAGCCAGCTCTGCAGTGTGTTGCGCGCTTAATAATTCAAACCGACGATGCTTCCCCGTCAGCTTGCTTAGCCGAGAGCAAACCTACTTGAAGCGAAACAGAACACCTTGCGATTGAAATTTCTAATGACGAAGTACCGTCAAAGTTTGCTTTGCCGCACAGACAGCCCGGATATATAGTTCAAAATTTGACGCTCCGTGCCGAAAATAGCGCTTTTGAGCACAGCAAACGTAAGCTGCTGAGGTTTACCGCCGCCGATTTCAACTTTTTATGTACGACCCGACGCTCGCAATACAAATATATCTTGCAAGTCTCTCTCAATATTGAGCTTACAGTTAGAGCAAAAAAATCTTACTTTCAGCTCATATCAAATGATTTTCCCGGAGATGGAGGGCTTTAAAAAAGTCCCTTTTACAACGAAAAAACTAACGCTAAATTGGCAAAATCTCCAATGTATACAAAATATGCTATTACATTGAATTTCTAATTTAAATTTTGCAACAAGTTTCTGCTTCTGAAAAGAACTTTCAAATTTATCAATCAAGGCATTCAAACATTTTATTTGAATTTTTGTTATTTTACCCTTATTAAATTAATTAGGATATATTCACTGAAAGGGTGATCTAAAATTATGACTGAGCCTAGCCTTTTGTTGAAATGCTTCAATTTTTTGAAATAAGCTTTTTTTTATTCAACTAAATTTGATTGAAGAAATTGTCGCCCGAGGAGATCATGGAATTGAATAGATCGGACTTTTCCTCGTTGTAAAAATTGTTTTTAATCAAAAAACAAAACGGCTTCACCAGTTTTGGTCTCGGTCTGCAACCCTATTTCAGGAGCACAAAAAACATGGAAAAAAATCTGCCAAATTGAATTTAACAATTTCTGATTTTTTTATATTTTTCTTGCAAAGTAAAAGGGTCGCAGATCATGACAGAAACTGGAAGAGCCGTTATGATTTTTTAATAAAAACAATTTTTACAACGAGGGAAAAGCCCGATCTCATTTCCACCATCGACTAAATTTTGATATTTTTTAAGGAAACAAAAT